TAAAGTATGTATCACTTGAGCTTCAAGCCATCAAGCTATGGTCAGACTCAAAAGCATGTAGGTCTAAATCTGAACTGACCTCCTTTGTATGATTGATAAAAACACTCTGAGAACCAGGTGTTAATATCTATTCTTTGTTCCTTCCTCTTGGTAGTTACAAAAGTGATTCACAAGGAGCAAAAATCCTGAACCTGACTCGGTGCACCGGACAATCTGATTCAAACCGTTCTAGTGGTTAATGCCTCCAGGGGAATCATGCCAGCCATCATCCCATTTGTTACAATTTCTATGAGGATCCTGCTACCTCTGGTTCTTCTTTTAACCTTATATATTTGGTTGTGGTACTGCCAGTATTTTAAAAGACAAAAAAAAAAAAAAAGAATGGATTCTGCTGGTCAATACCAATTCTTGTTCTGCTCTAAAAGATAATAAACTGCTTCTAACGTTGTCTAAGTGGCTGCCAGTAACTCTAAAGGTAAACTGAAGGACAAGAGAATAAGAAGTGAGCAGTGCTATTATCATTTTACACCCACCAGAAAATCAAAATCTGTCTGCTTTATACAGCTTGTCATTCTGCTCTGATAGGAGATGGAAGAAAAGCTCGGAAGCAGGTGCATTTAAAATGCTAAGTGTATTCCAAGCTTGATTAAGGTATACTAATATATGTTATGACAAGAACTGTGTGAAATCTCATGGCAGAATGAACCAAACCATGGATGTTCCAGAAAAAAAAGAATTTTGTGCTTAAGTACTTCACATCTGGGGGAAAAAAATAAAGGTGAAATAGACATTCTGTTGGGGTATTTTTTGTGAAATTTGAAAGGAACAAGGATATGGGATTCTGCTTTGGACCATGTCTAGTATGAGTTAAAATTAATGAAAGGAAACTGGAAAATGTTAATATTTTATATTCTAAGAGATCATTATTCCATAGTCAAAGATTTTTACTCTCATGCAATTGCTAGTATGTGTAGTCATTAAACGCGTTGTATTCTGGCTATTCTTACTAGAAGCGATCTTCATTTGTGTAGAAGTAGAATCCTCTGTTTTCTTTAGTTTAAGCGTATATGTGCTATATAGGCATATATAATATCAAATGTATGTTAACAACATTAATTAGATTACACAATTGCATTATTAGACAGTATGCTCTAATAGATGCATACAAAATTCTCAGCCAAGCTGGCTTTAACCCACAACTTCTGGCATAATTTAGAATGCCTACACTGAAGGCATTGATTTGGATAGTGCTGAAGTTGCATCTGATCATTAAGAAGCAGATAAATCAACCCCCAGTAACTTACAGATGTAATCCTGCTTTCCTATAATTTGCAATAATATCCACTACTCTACCTGCTTTTAAGAATGGGGAAAGGGGCAAGAGCCTTTTAAGAGGACAGTTTCAGCAGGGAGGCCCCACCTTGACAGGGATATAAGGGTGGAAGACAGCATAGAAAGGGACAGGAGGGCTCCAGAAATTTAGAGAAAGATGCTGCTTCCAGAGAAAGCTTTACCCGGAGCACAGAGACAAGGGGCAGGAGACTGTGTAGGCTTGGGGAAGAAATGGGTGTTGGAAGGAGCCCAGCTACGACTGGATGGACCTAGGGGGAGGACAAACAACAAACCAGAGATGTTTCAAGCTGCAAGGCAGCTGTAAAGGGGAGCAGCATCTAAGAGGAGCCCCCTTAGAGTCCAGGCCGGTGAATGTAGCTCATCCCAGAAAACTAAGGCTCCTTCCTAGAGACATGACTGTTGAGTAAATAACAAGATGATATAGATGGGGACATTGGAGAGAGACCTAGGCTGAAGGAGGAGCCTGAGGATTTTGCCCATATACAAGGAAGCAGCAGTCCCTGCTGACAGGCTCTTAGACCTCAGTTGAGCTTCTCAGTTAAAATGCTGATTTCAGAGAGCAGAATTCTGCTCTTACAGGCTACTCCTGAAGCCAGTCCCTAAAATATGGGGAAAGGAGGAGAGGACATGTTCAGTCTCACCCCCATGCTAAGAACAAAAGGTTGAGCTCATCCTTTCCTCAGTTGGTGTGGTAAAGGCTGATCAGGCAGGGAATTTGGAGAGAGAGCAGGAAGACAGCTGGTGCCTGGATTAGGAGGTTCTGATGGTAGGCAGCCCCTGATGTTGAAGACATGTCTCAGCAGAGTTTCCTGTATATCTTGTCTCTAATGGGTGATCTCTCTCCTGCACTAACTCCTTCTCCAGGCAGCTCCCCTCAGGGAAGAAAATAACACATGACTTCTATTACACTCCTCCCCCCCCCCCAAAAAAAATAAAAAAACAACCAACATTTCAAAATCAAAGTGAGGAGAAATCTGTAGCAACTAGGAGCAGAACCTAACTTTTATTTATTTATTTAAGCCTAGCACAGACTTTGCCTTTTGCTCAAGTCTAATCGATGGCACTTAGAATAATTAGGAAGGGATGCACCAGACTTATTCCTTTGCTTAGCTCCAGCAACAGTCTGGTTTGGCTGACTGTAGGTTTGCTTGTGGACTTCTTTCTGCTGCTCTGTTACATCATTATGTGATATGAAGATCCAGGATGACATTGACATAATTGTTGAGTTCTCCTTCATGTTCTGAGCTACTTCAGTCATGACTGGAGTCATGTGTTGGGTCTAGACAAAATCAATGGAGGTGAAGTCCATTAATACCTAGAGAAAACACCCCAGTAGATTACTTAGTTATGTTCTGAAAAAGATGCCAAAAAAAAGTATATCATAAGTTCTGTCCTTAGTTTTTAGAGGGAAATGTGGTAAGCAGAAACTTGATAATCACAACATGTATTTGGAAGAAAGAATCTGAAAGGTAGTGTGGTCGATTGGATAAATGTTGGTTTGGACTTTGCAAGTGTTCATGAAATTACATTTTTGTTTACTCTCTATTAACTTTTTGAGATTGTGTAATTTCTATCCTTACCCATAAACAGGTATAAGTGATTGGAAACCTGTTCAAACCTGTAACAGGACAGAAGTTCAGTGCATACAAATTGCTTTCAAAATGGCTGAAACCAGTTTAATATAAACCTGGATGGATGTAGTATCAGACTTAACTAATTTAAGTTAAATTGGCTTATAGAACTTCTGTCCCACATTAAGAATTGTAGAGTGGTACAGTAGTGCCACCTACTGTACTGGCTTCCAGGTTAGGGTTCATAGTTTTGGTCAGCTTAAGGGTTATTAAGTGCCTGAAAAATATCTAAAAGCAACAGAGAAACTTGATCTGCTACTTTCGCTGATGCTAGTTCAAGGGAACTTTACTTTGGTCACAGGAATATTTGTTGAGGTTCTCTTTCTTGCCTGAGTTTCAGATTTCATTCTGTACAGTGATAGGGGTTCTGTTACTGTGGCATAATACTTTGTGTGTTTATATTTTTCAAATACTTTCAAAAGTTCCAAGTTAATATAAGAAGAATTTTCACAAGTGAAAACATTCCTGGACAATTTCAAAGTTTTTGCAAAGGGACCCAAGAAAAGTAAGTAATTCATTGAAAGCTTTTAAATGTATTTTGGAGTGCTTGATATCTTCTCAACATGTACACATTTTTTATCAATTAAAAGTTTCTCCATATATATATCATATGCTTTGTATCTGCAAAAGATGGGCTGAAACATCTTGTTAAATTGAGAGCTGCACTGTAACTTTCCCAAAGGTGATGCAATCAGTTTATATCATATCTTCCTATTTGATATCATATGACGTTAACAGAGATCTTAATTATTTTAAAAGTAATTTTGTAGTATGAGTGAAGGTATAAGTATATGTTTGACTGTTAGACCTACTAAAACAATAGGAATAAACATAACTTTCCATGTTGTTTGTAGGGCATTTTATTTGAAGGAAAACCATACTGAAATCCTTTTAGTGTTAAATGTGGGTTTTGTGGGGGATTGATATTTTGGTGTTTTTTTTTCATTTGGAGAGTGGCCTCTTGTTAACTGCCATTCAGATTTTTGTTAAAGCATTAGTAACAAAAGCTTCTCACTGATTAACTGTTGCTAAAATAAAGAGATATAAGGCTGCAGAATTTCTTCAATAGCTGATATTTGCTTTCTCTTAAAAAGTGTATGATATACGTCTTTGACTGAGTAATAAACCTACTGGAATAAACCTGCATGGGTTCTTCAATCCCCTGGAATCCATGCGTTTAATCCTCTTATTTGTTAACTGTTAACAAATAAGGAGAAAAAAATCAACACTGAAACTATCCTGATGTCCTAAAACAGCCAAATGTTCAAGTTAGACTATATTTATTTATAATTCTGTGTGTTTGGATTTACCCAGAAACATAATGTTTTATGTTTTCCACATTTTACTTCTATGAGAGATCAACTCATCTATGTTGTTCTTGCATTTTCAAATTCAGACATTTTCTCTATCAAGGTTAATTTGGCAGGGTGCAGTGCTGGGGAAATACCATACAATGCATGTCTTGTAAATAACTTGTAATTGGCAAAGTCAATCAAATAATTAACATCTTATAAATACTAATTTATTTAATAAAAATATAAAAATATAAATATACATATATAAAAATATCAGGATGATTCAATGCACAGACATTCTTCAACTCAATAAATATGGCAGTTATATTGATTCATTTATAGGAATAGTTTTTTTCAGATTATGTTACAAGGTGGGTATGCAGTGTCCCAGCTAATAATAAAGTGATGCAAAGCAATTAAAAAATGAAAAGAGAAATTTGAGTTTTCCATCTCAGTAATAAAGGCACAAAAAGCCTTTTATGTTTCTTCTTGTTGCCAATGAGAACCTTCCTTTGGAGGATATTAGGCAGAGAGGGCATAGCTTTTTGTTTTTAAATTATATGCATCTAAACCATTCGTATTCATTCACGTTGACTTATTGATTAAGCAAACCCTTACTAAGACGACACCTATTTTTTGTATTTTTTCCAAGTAAGAGAGTGTAGGCCACTTTTTATCTAGTAACATAGACATTACTTCCACTAAGTCACAGATTACTTCTTCAGTCTCGGTCACTGTCATCTCCACCATACATATCTGCTAGTTTTTTAAATCGAGGTCCCCAGTCACTCAGGTAATCATAATCTTGGTTTCCATCTGTAGTAAGTGATTCAAGTGAACTAAGTGAATTTGCAATAGAATCATTTCCTTCATAGGCATATGTCGCCAGTGAATCATAAGGAGGTGCAGTTGGGTCTATATCATTTTCCTTTAGCCTTCTATGAATAAAATCTTGGACATCAATATTCTCCCACAGGGGTGCAGTCCTTCTTATCTGAAATATAGTTTCTGGAATAACATCTCTTCTCATCTTACTTTCCTCCCTAGCTTCTGGATTCCTCAGAGTGCCAATGTCAAAAGCTTGAGTATCCTCTTCCCCACCTCCTTCATCGTTGTAGGTCACAATATTATCCCGGACATCATCTTTTGAGATGATCAAGGGTTCTTTTTTTCTCTGCCTCTTCAGTGCTGCAAACAGCACAACTAAAACTGGAAAAAAAAACATAGATAATGAACTGCATAGATCATAATGAGTATTCTGTATATATAAAGGCTCAGTCCATGTGTCCGTGTGTCTGTCTATCTGTCCATAATGGTCTTGTAGAGCATGGCCCCAGCCAGTCCTGCACAGGGGGAAATTTCCCATCAAGAATGACGGTGGGGACAGAGAACTGCCATGATGCTAAGGCTGGAGGGGGGGAGGGGATGGCATGGGACTGGATGTGGAGTGGGGGGGAGAATGATGGTGGGGATAGAGCGCCACCATGACGGTGGGGGCAGAGGGGATGGGGGGGGGGGTGAGGCCAGCAGCACTGGCCTCGCTCCCCGCCCCCAGCCCTGCTGCTTGGAGGCGGCGTGGGACCGTGGCTGTGCGGCGCTGGCCTCGCACCCTCCCTTCATCCCCTCTGCCCCCACCATCATGGCACCGCTCCATCCTCATCGTCATTCTTGATGGGCAATTTGCTAGTTGTAAATAATGAGATGGACAGGACAGTTATCATTGAAATGCAATGAGTATACATTTACTATGACTAGGTTTCAAGGAGAAGGTTCTGTTAAGAAATATTTGGTATGTAAATAGGAAAATATATTCTTGTGGAATAATAATAATATGCTAATGGAATTTGAGAATAAAAGTCTTATTTTTTAAAGTTTGGTTAAAACAATATTGATTATGACTGAATTTCACTTGATATTTAAATGCAGGTTCTATAGTTGGCCATTATTACGAAGAAGCAGGATGGGGATCTTTCCACATTATGTCCTAATAATGATATAGTATTGCCTGCCATGTAACACATAATAGTAAGGGTATCATTTTGAAAATGTCACCATCTCATTTTCAGGTGATTTAGGCACTTGGTAGCCAGCCATTGACTTTGATTCCCCACTACCTAATTCTCTTTTAAAAATGGAACTAAGATTTCTAGGTCACTTAAGTCACTTCATATAAGATGGTGCCATAATGAGGCACCCTGAACTAGCTAGTTCCCAACTAGAAGCAATATAGCTATACTAGTGTAGTGCTGTGCATTGGTAAGTGAGCTTTGCTTGTCAGAACTATCAGTACTAGAATGAGGTATCTTAGCATAGAACTTCATTGTACTCTATAGGCACTTCCTTATGTGCTTTTGAATGTTTTATCCCAAAGGTCTGTGGTCATTGACATGACTGATATTATCGACATAGCTCTTATTGAGTTCAATAGCAGCTGGAATTGGATTCTGTCTTTATTCACAGCTACTTCTTTAAATACTTGATCTTGCTAGTTTAGGAAGTGCTAGTAAAATAACCTTCACCTTTGGATCATGGGATTGGAGCTAAAGTGAGCTTTTATGGCTTGAGCAGAAGAACTGAAGTTCAATCTTTTAAAGGTTTTTAGGTGAATAACTCCCACTGATTTTAATGGGAATCAGAAGCTGTAATATCTTAACAATACTGGACATATACTAGTAACTCTGATTTTTTGTAGACTGAAACAGTAATACTCCACTCAGAATTAGATTATGCCAGTACTCTGTGCATAGCAACATGAACAAAATTATGCACTAAAAATAACTTGATCATTTAAGAATGAAGGGAAGAGTGGGCATGCTGAGGACATATAGGGACTGTGGCTAGGATCTTTGAACTTAAATATGGTCTAGTAAGTGTAGGTGACTCTTTGTTTCTATTGATTTGTGTGTGCAATAGCCTAATTTAGATTTTCAGTTGCTCCTATTGCCAACCAGGCATGGTAGCTCATTCATGCATGCTTAAGCATTTAAGAAACAGGGCAGTTATGAGGGCTGACTAATCATGGGCATGCTTCAAATAAGGCCCTATAAAACAGTATCTTTCATATTCACAGTTAGGTGCTCAATGTCTAATGTGAGCATGATGTTCTTAACCAGTTTGCTAGCCTCCATTTCTGGTCTTCCTTAGCCTACTTCATTGTATTGAATTATGACTTAGCAAAGCATCAAGCCACAGGGGACTAAAAGTGTTGGCCATCTGCCCCTTTGCCCCCGAATCTTAGTGTCCCTGTGCTACTTCTGTGTCTCTCTCTCACCAGCCTCTAATGTTCACCATTGAAGACCTAAAACCTGGAAAAAGTTCCTCAGACCCCAGTGGATATAAAAGTTGGAATTTAAGTTATTTTTGCCTTGTCTTTTACCCTGCTGTGGGCATATGCTAGATACAATGGGTTTTGAAGCAAAACTAGATTGGGAAACAGATTGTAGCCCCACCAGGGAGGCAAAGTTTCTGGCTGCCAACTATGACAGCCAGAGATTTCTACTTTCTAGCATTAGTTTACCAGCTTGAGGTTTTATTCCTTCTCATCTCTCTACAGCTTCTTCACATGCTCTCTCTTCCATGCACATAATATCTTCTGGCTCATTCCATTCCACATGGAAGCATTTGAATGTTTCGATGTCTATAGTTCCTGTTCTGTTTCCTATACATTATCTAACTTTTCCTAATGCATACAAAATAAAAATATTTTGTGGGTTAATGACAGATATAATCATTTGGTTTTTAATCACTGGGGCCAGATTCTGCTGTTCAAGCCATCTAGTGTGTTAGTTAACTACATGCATCTAAATGCATGACTATTTGTGAATTGAGATACTGTTCACATGAGTAAAGATGGCAGTGACCTAGACCTAGACTTTTAATTACCTGATATTATATCTAACTAAAGCAGCGGTCTCATCACAGTGTTCTGCTCTCTGCTCAGTGACATTCATAACTCAACTCCTCAGTTAAAATGAAGCCAATGAGAAAAAAATGGCCTCTTTCACAGCTTTAACCAGTTGCATGATAAATAGAACTTCATAGAATGACAGCATTGAACAAACCAGTGACTAGCACTTTCCATATTGTACGAAATGCTTCTTCCAAAGAGCACTTACCTAGCAGTATAATGATGCAGAGGAGAATGGCAATTAGAGCACCTGTGCTGAGGCCTGTTGAAAGTAGCAAAGCTTCAGCATTACAGGACTGCATATTTCCCCGGCTATCACAGGCACACACTCGAATTGTCAGCGTGCCTGTGCTGCTCTGGATTGGGTAATCATTGTCAAATATTATGATTGGCAGGAGATAGGTACTCATTTTACTACGGCTGTATCCATTTCTTCTAGTCATTATCCCTGCTGTGTTATCTGAAATGGAAAAACCAGAATGAATACACATTACAGTATGTTGTTTTGTGCAGTGTGGTGGGAGAAAAAAAGATGAGATGAAATTGATGAGCAGAGATGTTTACCTTTGTTGTCTACAATAGAGAAGTTTGGATGAACTGCAAATTCTGGCACCAACTCAAAAAAAAATTTGTGTCCTTGAGGAGGCGCATCTTTGTCCATTGCACTAACAGTCTGTATCAGCTAGAAAGGAAACAATGATTAATATGTTTTTAAGTCGTGTAAAACCAGCACACTTCCTTTTCTCATACAACAATATAAAAACTTCCTTGCAACTTTATTTGAAGAAGCAGACCAATATTCCAAAGACTAGTTCTAGGTGGGTTGTTCTCTACATTGGCCCAAGAAGACCCCTATATATTTTTTTAACTTTACAATCTGCTAATAGCAGAAAACAAGGTACTGCTCTTAGCTTCAGCCAACAACTTTCTGACTAGTTTTGGTGCCCTGCAATGATATGAGAAGGGTTATCCTGTGAGTAATCCAGTCACTTCCCATGACCTTACAAAACAATAGCAGCTGGTTCACATGCTGTGCTGCTGAGAGCGAGACATGGTTTCTTTTTCCAGCCTACATCACACTGTTCCTTCTGATATATTCTAGTGTTGCAGAAGCAGAATGCTTAGCCATTTTTGGAGCAGAGAAGGAGTTAAAAAGCTTTGCATCACTCTAAACTGAAATCTCTAGCTGTGCAGTGGACCTGCT